ACGAGTACATACGAGTAAAATACGAGAATTAGCACGCTTTCTTTACAGTTTCTTTCACTTTCACACTTTCACTTTGGCTTCGTATTATGTTCATGTTGTAAATGCCTTATTGACATAGGCGTACGAGACAGGGGGGCGGGGGGGGGGAGGGGCAACTGCCCCCAAAATTTTGGAAAACCATGGAAATTCGGGCAAACGCTAGGAAAAATCAAGAAAATTCGGGCAGATTTATGAGAAAATATGTTAAAATCAGGTTATTTCTTTAAAATTCTCCATAAAACATCAGCCCCGTTCTCCTATGTGTTTTGCAAATTTAATACGTCAATTGTACACCTGTTAATACGTTTTCAACAGGGAAATATAAAATACTTAGGGTTCATTATTTATATCGGTTGGGGGGGGGGGCTGGTAAAATAATGGGGGGGGGATATATTTTGTAGGTGTAAAAAAAAAGAGTGGTGGTTTAAATCTTTCGAAGAAGTGTTTTGGGGAGACAATAAAATTTTATAGCATTGATATAAAGAAGATAGTATAGAGATAGTGGCGTAGCCAGCGCAAAAGGCGGGAGCCATTTTAGTGGAGGTCTGGGGGCATGCTCCCCAGAATATTTTGAAATCTAGGGTCCCTGAAATGCGATTTCCTGCATTTTCGGGGTGTGAGTTTGCATAAGTCCGAGAACTGTATAATGCATAAAAGACATGATTTTTCGTGATGGAAAATGATGGGTTAAAATAATGCGAATTACTTTTAAAACCGAATGATGATTGAAAGTAAATATATTTTACATTTAAAAACCCAAAGTAAACCCTTTCTTCTTGGGGCCATATCTACTTACTTAGACAAGATTATACACAATTATATTGTGGATTTAGATTTTATTTCGCACCCCCCCCCACCCTGTTGGCTAAATCCTGTCCAGCATCCCCAAGTTGAAGGTCCTCTCTACCCCCTGGTTGTAAAGAGCACACAAAAGAATAGGATGGGAAGAACTACCATACGGCCATACTATGTTCTTCTTAACTTTATTGTTGGAGGGGGGTAAAAAATTTTCAGACTGTTCTAAAGGGGTGGACTACATTTTTAAACACATTAAAAGGGAGGGTCATTTTTATTATGTTGTTTGAATTTTAGAATCCAACAGCTCCTTCCCCCCTCCCCAACCGATAAATAATGAACCCTAAGTATTTTATATTTCCCGGTGTACAATTCACGTATTAAATTTGCAAAACACATAGACTACAGACGTATAAACAACATGGCAAACATGCACTTTCATATACTACAAAAGCTCTCTGACAGCCTGTGAGCAATATACTACATTTAAACCTTTTCAGAGTCTTAGAACATACAAATCTTTATTCTATATATATTAATTAATTACTTTTTCTACGTCGTGCGAGGCTTCGAAATCCATCAATACGCATGGGAGAACGGGGCTGATGTTTTCTGGGGGGGGGGGTGTTGAAAGTTTGCCTGAATTTTTATGGAGAATTGTAAAGAAATAACCTGATTTTAACATATTTTCTCATAAATCTGCTCGAATTTTCTTGATTTTTCCTAGCGTTTGTCCGAATTTCCATGGTTTTCCACAATTTTGGGGGGCAGTTGCCCCCCCCCCCCTACCCCCTGTCTCGTACGCCTATGTCAATAAGGCATTTACAACATGAACATAATACAAAGCCAAAGTGAAAGTGTGAAAGTGAAAGAAACTTTAAAGAAAGCGTGCTAATTCTCGTATTTTACTCGTATGTACTCGTATTTTACTCGTATGTACTCGTATGTACTCGTATGTACTCGTATTTACTCGTATGTTACTCGTGTGTACTCGTATGTTACTCGTGTGTACTTGTATGTTACTCGTGTGTTACTCGTATGTACTCGTATGTTACTCGTATGTACTCGTATGTTACTCGTATGTATTCGTATGTACTCGTATGTTACTCGTATGTACTTGTGTGTTACTCGTATGTTACTCGTATGTACTCGTGTGGTGTTTTAGTCACGATCATGTCAAACCTCAAATCTTACAAAATTCTGACGTGTAAAATTCTTATAAAGTATAGGAAACTTTCTTTTTTCATAACGCATTATATCTTGCGGCTCAAGAATAGCACGCCTGTTTGAATAAAATTTAAATATACACGCCTATTTTAGTCGACTAAAATATAAATTAAGTTCGGCTCATGAATGGTACGTCGTTTAAATTGGGCCTTGCCATTTTGTAATTTTCTTCGATAAATTTCGGTAATTTTTTGTCTATATAGGATTCGTTTTAATGTCTTAAATTTTTTGAAGAACGGTCGTAGTTTCTTTGTCTTCCAATTGCATGTGTTCGACAGCAAGAACGTATTTGTGCACAAAGTCAGTTTGACAGATAATAAAGGTCTTCGTGGAAGCTCAATAAATATTAAGGCCATCACCATTTGCTAGAGTGATGGTTATAGTTTTTGATAAGTTTTAATGTATGATTTACAGACAAATAAAATTGTTGTGATTTATGCAGGTTACCGTTATGCCACCGACAAAGATAGCGTCATTTGCATGGAAGAAGACACAATTCTCTCGGATTATCTTTACAACTGTAAATTTAACAAGGCGTACCCTAAAATGGAATTGCCAGATCCAAATGAGCATGTAATGCCGGAAGGTTTTAAATGCACCTTTTACCGCGAATCGAACGAAAGAATGTTTTCCGCTACCGTTGGCGAAGAGAGTTATACTGTTATTGTTTTGGACGAAAAGGGGTGGGACTCAGACTCATCAGCTAAAAGAGATCAGAAACAGGTTTGTATAATTTCAATTTCATAGTAAATTTTAATAATTAAAGATAAAGTGATTTGATTTTGGCAAACCAGGCACATGGTTGTTGCAATTCAGTTCCACAACGATATACGCATTACTATTCAAAATATTAGTTAGCATAATATTGTATTAAGTTATGATGACGGACAAATACAAAGTTTAATAAATATAATTTGAGAAACTACCAAATTAATGGTTCTTTCCCAGCAGCAAAAATAAAAATGTTTACTTACTTGTGACAATACATACACAAGTTGATATGCTGGTCTTTTTGGAATTTGAAGAAAAAGCTTCATTTAAGGCAACAAATTTATTGTTTGACGTCATTTCAATAGCATGAAGGATAACTTACACAAGGAGTTTGATAGCCATTGACTCCCAATCAAGTAAATAGTTACGAAGCTTTAAATAGTTTTATCCACGTCTTAATCTTTTTTAAATCGAAAAATTATTGCTGCTGGAAGTGCTAGACCCAGGCCTAAATTACATCGCACATGTTCAGCTCATGAGCTGGCGTCATTCACTTCCCAATTCCCATTATTATAGACTCCAAACTCGCTTAACTCTTCTAGGGCAAATTTTGACTTGAGTGATGACTAATGTTAAGTATATTATATGTACATGCATTGCAACGATCATAATTGAGATCGTTGATTTTTATTGGTACCATGTACTATGTCGAACCTTGAAATGTGAACCTTGGCATTAATCCAAATACTGGCTGAAGTCACGCAGTCTATGTCCTCAGTAAATAACCCTCAAATTTTCTATGTCTTTTCTCCTTGGCAAGGGATTCTGCCTTGAGATACATTCAGCTTCTGACGCTAATTTATCCTCGGTATGCATGGGCACTGGCTACTACATTTTACTTGCGTTTCCAAATCAAAGAGTACAGTATAATATATTTATTTAGCAAACACATTTTGTCATCTTCGTTATCGCTATCTATATGTTCTCGGCATTTGTGATTGCACACAGTAGCGTAGCCAGGCCAACGATTTAGTAACGTTATGCAAATATTTTCGTGTCATTGACTGTGAAAATAATCAATTTCTAAAGAAATGATAATGATTTTGAACTTGCATAGCGGGACTAAATTGCCGGGCTGGCTACGCCACGGATTACACACAGGATCTTGCAAACCCCGAGATATTTTATTTTAAATGATCAAAGAACAAAACAATGTAGTGACATTTGACTAATCATCTGCTTGGTTTAGATGCACAAACTAGACAGTTTAGGCCCGTTTTCTACGTCGAATTTTGGTCGCGTGAGTCGCGTCGAATGCAATTAAGACAATAGCTAATGACATGCTAAACCTCATTAAGCCTCATTATGATCTATTAATTTGAATTGCATTCGACGCGGCAAATTTTTTCCGTAGACAGTCGGACTCCTCATTGATAGTCGGACGCATCATTGATCCGCGTCCAGGCTTCCATGCGTTATCGATGGATCCTTTTGTACCCTGCGTAACCCACTGGTGCACCATATATCCATCACTGATCTCCACGTTGTTCTTCTTCGACCACGTGTAGAAAGATAAACAATTTGCCATCATAGTAACTACAAATTTTGTTTTTCTGGTTCCAAAAATACTCAAGAGCTGTTATTGCGAGTTAAAACTGTGTATCATCCCAATTGAAGAGAATTGGGATAAGATAACTAGCGTGCAAGGAAATACTGGAAGATTCAAAGCGACCATCAGGACACTTTGCACAAATAGAAGATTGCAGAATACCCGTTCCCTAGTAATAGAGAGGTTAAGATACCCCGGTTCCGGTTTACGGGTACGAGTATCGCCATTTTGTTTACCAATTTTTGCTGATGTCAGCAATTTTACCCGTAATTTCTACCCGTTTCCCCGCGGTAAACCGTGGTCTA